TAAAGAATTTTATCTGTACTTTTCAAACTCATCTATCAAAGGTTTAGGATGAATTTATTTGTCTTTTTTTAGAAAAAGACATAAAAATTGTGCATTAAGAATCCAAATTAAAAAATAAAACAAAAAAACTCTGTAACTTATGTAAATATTTTCCTTTTCATTTATAGATGTCTAACTTTTTAACATTGCTCAGATAAAGCGCCTATTTATTCTACCTGGAACAAAATACCAAAATTGCATAGCTACTAACAGAAAAATATATATTTCTTCAATTAAAAAACTGCCTTTGGTTCATTTTTTTTTAAATTGTGATATTTACAAAAAAATTATTACTTATCATAATCCTATTCAATCTTTATCTACTATATCTTGCTCTGTCATCAGTAGTAGCTCTGTTAAACCGTGGTGGCCGCATGTGTTAAAGCATTGCCTACTTTATCATTCTCGATTCTAGTGGCACTGGTTTGAATTTTGCCTGGCCTATGATAAATTATAAATTTAAATAATCATAACCCTCATTTAAAATGTTTATAACTTTATACCTAGATTACTACTAAGGACATTGTCATTGATTCAAAACCCCTTCCCAGACCCAAAAGCAACTTTCTCACTCTATACCTAAATGATAATTTCATTTGCTCTTCATTTAAAAACTCAAAGTTTGTCTCTGACAAAACCCCTATTCCTACCTCCTCTTCACAAAATAGTCTGATGCTGGCAAGCTATTTATTATGTAACTAAGCTTTATTTTCATTATTCCCTTTTACTTAAAATTTGAACAAATATTTCGTACGACTTTTCATCTTCCATTAGTATTATTTTTATTATTATTTCATTAGTATTATTTTCATTAGTATTATTATTATTTATTTTAGCAATGTATATTACAAGATATTCTTGCTTTTTCATGTTACTTCATTTATTTAATTTTCTTGTCTACAATTTAATTTTCACCATAACAAACTATTCTCATCATGCCATTCATTTGTTGCATATACATATAATTATAGTACATATGTAATGCACATGTATTACTGCAAAATCGTTTAACAGGTTTTGATCAGAAGAGTTTGTTTGAATATCACAGTGTATTGCACAGGCGAAACTATGGGGAGGGCTTTCGGGCTGAAGACTCCCCCAAAATTGTGAAATATAACCATGGTTTATAAAAAAAATTATTAAAAACCATCTCTTATAGTATTATTGTTTGTGTTATTACATTTGATAGAACTTCAAGAACCACTTAAACACCATGTTATATAGGTAGTTAGTTTCTTCTTTCAAATTAGTTATCGTTACATATATATAAAAAAAAAACCTTTCAGGCTGAAGCCTCTCCTCCCCAAAATTAAGTCCTGGATCCGCTAGTGGTGAACTGTAAAATCAGTGTGGCATAAGTGCATAAGCTAAGGCTTGTTTTAGCCTAATCACCTGGCTGGTACAAAGCTCTCATGCCATCATTGGATCTTGTTTACCCAACTATTAATGATTCTTTCATTTAGCCAGCACTTTAGGTTGTTGGCAATTAAGATTACATTTTCAGGTTTAACTCAAGTTTTGCATTTCGGCACCGCTCATTTTTGATATCCAGTCTTCTTTATTTCAATATTTCAATCATTGCCTCTTACTAATGTTCAAAATGAGCACTTTTAAAAATTTTATTTTGAAAATAATAATTAATAGTAATAATATGTAAGCATCATTGAAGAAAACATTTTAAGGTGAAAAAAAGGTAATAAACAAAAAATTCCAGTTTAGTTTCTATATTTAAAAGATGAGAATTATTTCAGACATAAAAAATAATATATAGAAAATTTAGTGGTCATGTCACATGATTTTCACTTAGTAATCGACTATAAATAGAAATTATTTTCTGGCAAAATTTGGCTATTGTGAAAAGTACATTTAAACTTTGGAGAACACATGTGTGGATTTTGGTAATATTTATCAAAATAAAAAATTATTATGGCCATCGGAATATCTCAAACAATTTGTATCATATCGATGATACGCAATGAAAAACTAGTAACTCTATCAGTCTGTTTAAACCACACAAACCTAGTCTCTGAGCTCCATATACTATGAAAAATTTGAAAGTACAAAGATATACAAGTATCTTATCTACAAACGTAAGGATTGTAGTATATAGTAGTACAAAAGTAAGGGTAAGAATTATAGGAACTAAATCTGCATTACTTAATAAAACTAAGTTTTATATTAAGTTAAGTAATTAAAATAAAATTTAACTGAACCATTGTAACATTTAACTAAATGATAAGAGGTTTTCATTGTCTTCCATTGATAGATGAAAAGTTGTCACTAACAAGGAGAGGTCACAAACAGTGAGTCACCGATTTCAACCAAATTTTTTTTTTTTTTATGATACTACATTTTTGCCTTTGCTTCACCAGGATATTTAGGTTATTAGATATTAGATAGCAATAGCTTTTTTTTTTTCTTTTTTCCAGAATAGGAAAAAATATTAACTATGGTATATCATAAATTACAAAAATCAAATGGCGCTTCCATTTAAGTTGGCCAAGTAAATTTCTGTTATGAAAAAACAAGTTTGATTCATTTTTAGTGTCTTTTAAAACTCTTCTTTTTCTTTTTTAATTTTTATATAAATCAAAAATTGTAAAAAGTAAGCTTAAAAATGCAGTATATTCATGAAACTCTTCTATGCAGAATAACAAATGACAAGAAGTGATATTAGCAAAACTCTAAAAAAAAAATAAACGATTTTCTCTTCAATATTTGTTGACTGAAATAACTATATCATTCTGTATACACTGCTATGAATCTATGACCTTTAAATACTTACTGACTGACAGAAGGCTATTGATAGGCTCAAATCTCACACATAACATTTTACAAGCTTATTAAATGATATTAGTCCCCATATTTCTGAAATTTATAATTATTTAAAACAAATATACATATGAATCAATTAAAGTAGTTTAATCTCCTGATTTATGTACTTTGTTATTATTATTTATTTATTTTATAGCACTTCCCATCTACCCAAGTAGATCTACCAATGACCATTAGTTGCACTTTTTTTTGTCATTATTATTTACAATTTTATATTTCCTTTTACAAATTTATTTCTGTTTAATTTTCTTTTTCTTCCATATTTATCAACAATTGACTATGAAATGTTATTATGATTATATCAAAGATTAACGTTATATCTCTGCATCTATACTGAAGATTGTATTAATTTAATCAATAAAGTTAGAAAACCAAATTTAACTATCACAATATTCCTTTTCGAGGCTGTACAAACAAAAATAAAAATTTTTTTCTTATTCCTTAATCTAAAAAGCATTCTGCACGTATTTAAAAAAAAAAGCATACATATATGATGAGCATAAATGTATATGTGAAAAAGAGAACTCATTAAGTTCAGACTTACTTATTACATAACTAATGTTATTTTATGTATAATGCTATTTTAGATAATATTTATGCTCTAAATAACAAACTTTTAAAAACTTTTGTGACCTTAGCTTAATAAATATTTTTATTAAACAATATCAATAAGAACTAAAAGTGTAGAATTGAAAAATTGAAATGCTGTTGTTTTTTCTCTTTGCCTTTCTTTAAAATTTGTCTTTTTGTTGTACTGTTTCTTTTTTATGAAAAATATAGAAGTTAAGAATAACATTTTCTTTTCTGTGTTTGTGAGGTCAAGGGCATAGAACTCACTCAAAACTGAAGTGGCTATTATTTAAAAAAGGGAGTAATTTATTTAATTTTGAGGGAATATATGCAAATCAATATTTTTAAAGATATTTATTCTGGTTTTCAAAAATTCTTAAACTAGTTTATTCAAAAGAACGAATAAAATATATTTTCAAGTTTTAATTAAAATATTTTGGAATAGTTAAAGGATTTTTTTTTAATCAGCAGTCATGGATATATGCAATTCATACCCCCAAAAAATATTATGGAAAGTAGTTAATATTCCAACACAGGGTGAGTTACCTTTATAAAGGGAATTAACATGCTTAGTATCAATGTAGTTCTAGATATCATCATAGTTTAATTCTACAAATATCATAAAAATTAAAATAGAATGTATAATGTGCTAATTAAATAAAAGAAATAAACTTTGAAATAACGTTAGTTCTGTGTGGTCTAAGAGATCATCCTTAAGGTCAATTTTTTATGATTACATATACAGGGAGACAAATCTGTGAGAAAAAGAGTAGTAAAATATGATTTACAGCAATTTTATGAACCTTAAAATGTGGTGAACAACAAACTGCAACATTGAATTAATTATAAACAAAATTATATTTGTATATAATTTATATGATTTTTTTTCTCATTATTTCCTCTTTAACATAATTTCAATTATTCACATAATTTTACTAAATTAATTTGTCAAGTTATGTAGACAATAATAACTTTTTAAAGTTTTTGTCCTTAAAAATTAATAAGTTCTGTTTAATCATTAAACATGACACATATGCTATAATTAATAAGATTATTACATATATAACACCTCAAAAAATAAATTTGGAGCTATCACATTATTACTTTTCAGTTATAAACCTAAAGAAATCAATAAAATAGTGCTAGTTTAAATCTTTTAGTGCATACTGATGTTGGCTTATTTTGTAGTATTAAATAAAATTGAACAAACGAATCGATAAATTTATTGAGTTGAACTACATACTTTACATATTTTTATTTATTTCGAATAATGAAATTTTCTATTAATCGGGTCATTATAAGTATAAAATCTATTTTTGTAATTTTATAGTTGAAACTTTGCAAGCGATATAAATATAATACATAATCTCTTCTGTACCGCGTGCACTGAGTAAACCGGCTAAGGTGGGGGAAAGAACAACCTCGATCGAAGGGAGGAGTGGGGTAGTGGTGGGGGGTTTCGTCACGCTGCCAGTAGACCTTGAGTAACGTTTTGAGTGTAGTTGTTATTAATGTGTTGCTAAGTGATAAGTTGAACTAATTCTCGGAATTCTATAATGGATCATGTTAATGTAATATTTGAGCGTGACCCTTTAGCTCTTGATGACGAATTCAGCAATGAATCAACGCAACAATCTGAAGATAACCTGTATTGTTGCCAGGTATGTAACATGATTTTGATAGGTTTTCATAAGTATACACCCGAAGAACAAGCAGAAATAATACGAAAAGGTAGACCTGTACCTCAGCTGGATAATTTAGTCATCACTACTAGCACTGGTAAGAAATCATTCTGTTCGAAGCGCTACGAATATGATGAATGGTTGACTGGATGTAAACAGAGATCTAAATTGTATTGTTGGCCTTGCCTTTTATTCTCTGAGAGAATTGACCCCTGGACGACCACAGGAATATCTGATATAAATAACTTAGCTTGTTCGACCAAGAGCCACTCTACTTGGGATATTCACATCGATGCAATGTTTAAGTGGAAAACGTTTGGTAAAACATCGCCAAACATTGGTGGGGACGATGAAGAGTTTTCAGACCATGAAGAATCCGATCAAATTTTGAAGGAAGAAGAGATAATGAAGAATCGAAAAATTATAAAAAAGTTTGTCCACATCGTCTGCTTCCTTGGCGTTCATGAATTGTGCTTGTCGGAAGAGGAAAGGGACGACCTGAAGGATCCCATTGATCAAATGAAGTATGAGACATTTATTAACTATATAGGAAAATATGACCACTTTTTAGCTAGTCAATGCGCTTGTAACGAAGTGTTTTTAAGCACTAGTTTTCGTAATAATCTTATTTCTTCGGTTACGAATATTGTTACTAGATATATTTATGACGAAATTTTGCAATCTAGTTTTGTATCTATGATATTAGATGAAGTTGCCGAGATGAATGATACAATATTGATATCTACCATTCTTAGGTTCACTAACGCAAAGGGTGAACTTATTGAAAGGTTTTTGAATTTTCGAAGCATACCATCTGATAGAAAGGCAGATTCATTGTTCAGCTTAATTTATGAAAATCTCAACATTTTAGAATGTGCTTCAAAGTTAGTTTCAATAAGCTGTGATGGAGGAGTAATTAAGACGAATGAATTATTCGAATTCCAAGCTAAAATAAGAGCTATTTGTCCTAACACTTCTTTCTTACACTATTATGAACATCGAGTAAATACAGTTTTGGCACAGTCGTTATCCAATATTGAAGAGTGTAAACTATTTTTTTGGACTCTGAATGGTCTAGCTATGAGCTTCTTTAAATCGAAGAAACTGAGAGATGAATTAGATATATTAATTAGGAAAAATAAACCAGATAGTTTCGAGTTCAGGTGGAATTTCAATGGATCATTAATAAATAATGTACTTGGAATCAGACAACATCTGATCGATTTGTTTCAAAGCATCTTAGATCATACAGATGGTTGGGATTTTGAAAGTGTCTCTGCCTCAAATTGGTTCTTACCGAAATTAAAAAGTGATCTATCGTTTAATTTTCTTTTATTATTGCTTGGCGATATTTTCGAACGCACAGACGTACTTTCCAGTAATTTGGTTCTTAACTCGGACAATATTGAATTGTGCATTCAACATGTCAAAGAATATACTAACTTCATAAAATATCAGAAGCGTACATTCGATTTCGTTTATAATAATGCTTTAGGACTTATAATTTCTAGTGAAGTATCCGCCAAAAGGAAAAAAGATATCGGTACTCAAGAGACATATTCCTCCGAATCATGTGAGCTAATTTTCCAAAATGTTCTGTCCAATATTATCACTCAATTAAATGCTAGATTTAGCGATCTGTGGAAAACGAAATTTATTTCACTCATTACCAATTCCGAAAATAGCAAATTAAACACTATCCATCTAGGAAACCTATATTTACCATTTAAAGAATCATTCGACATGCCATTGCTTGTTACGGAGCTGAGTGTGCTCGGAGAATCGAAAGCTATCAAGAAAACAAATCAAAAAGAAATACTTAAGACTTTGCGAACTATGGATTTATCTTCCACCTTTCCACAGACAACGAAGCTCTGTGAGCTCTCCACGGCTCTCCCGATCACAGAAGGGAAGTCCACTTTGGAGCGTGTTGAGAATTACATCCAAACAACATCTCTTAAGCACAGGCTATCAATAATGGCCGTTCTCAAAATTGAAAAAGCATTTATTCTCGAACTTTCGAAAAACCCAAAATTTTATGATAAGATAATAGAAGAACTTTCAGATAAAGAACCTTTCATCCCGCTGATTCATAATCTATAAAGGACATTTGAAGACATCTTTCACACAAATTGTTTTCATTTTTGAAAATAGTTATGTCATTTTTTTGTAATTTATAATATGTGTATATATTTTTTTATGTATTGGATTGTAAATAGTAAATAAACATTTGCTAATTTATTTTTTCACAACCATAACTATACCTAATTGATGATCCCCCCATTTCCCTTTTTTCACTTCCTCTCCTCCAATAAAAGCCAGAAGTACTTTAAGTAATATAATTCCAAGTAAGTATCATCGTGAAAAAATAAGGGCGAAGGACAAAGGGAAAAACAAAGTTTTATCAATGTTAGAAAAGCTATCATCAAGGTAATTCATCATCTATGTCCTATATTCCAAATTCTCATTATATTTGTCCACAGAAAAGGAAGATGAATGTATTGGCAGCTTCAGAATTTAATTTTGCACATCATAATGTCCAAAAATTGAAATTATCGACTGTCTACCATCCTGGGAAATTTGTGCCTGCTGGAACATTTTTTTAATTCATATTTGACAACGTTTACATTCGAAAAATGTTCATAGCTTGAGTGGCATAAATATTGTTTCGCCATTCCAAATTCTTCCACCTGCTTCTAATTTAAACATCGTGATGTTACAAATTTCCCTCTCTCTGCTCAACTAAATGCCAAACTGCTATAATTTAACAGCGGATATGTGAGGATGAACTGAATTGAAGATAAATATTGTAGAGGAAATATAAGCGTAGAATTCAATTCCATTTACTAGCTCAATAGTTTATTATGAACGAGCGGCAACTGACCAATAAAGAGCTACAGATATCAGATGCATTTGAGAGAACAACCCGAGAGAGGAGAACTGACAATGATTTGAGCCAAAACCGATTTTCATTTAAAATGTGCTTGATGAAATTGAGATGAATGAAAGACTTGAAAATAGCTCTAGACAGTCGAAAGATCAGGAAAAATAAAGAAGCACGAATAAAAAGTATTGTTAATTAAAATTTGTGTAAAATTTATTTAAATAATAAAAAAATGTCATGGCTCTAAATGTAATAAATATGATTAGAAAAAATATACATGGACTATTTCCCCAGAAAGTGTCAATCTGCAATCAGCTTTTTGTAAAAACTAAAAGTTTTAATAAATTCTTTTTAAAAAATATCATCTATTGGCTCTTGACCTTTCTTATTACATTTTGGTGGCCAGTAGCACAAGAATATTTTTATTGAAATAAATAAAAAAAAATAAGGAAACGTCATTGTAAAAAATGAAATGTTAGGAAGCGTTACACATACCTGATAGAAAGGTAAACATGATTGAAAAAATAGTATATACATCCAATGTCGAAAAAAACAATAACATGCACGAATCATTATTATTATTTTTTAAAATTGAGTTAAAAAAAAAGTTAATGGAGATATTAAACATGAAATTCGGTTGATAATTAAAGATATCTTTAAATAAACTAATTGATCCTATATTGAAATACAGACCACCATTGAATTTTAATTTAAATTGGAATTAAATTACTGAGTGAATGAATGAAGCCTAATAATGACAACTCTCACGATGTTTCTCTTTTTTTTCATGGATTGCTTTCGTTTTATTCAACAGACTATATATGAAAAAAGTTTAAGAATTAAGCAACTCTGAACACATGACGCAAAAAATCAAATCTCTAAACGCTCTACCTGTTGTAGAGCATTGTGAGGCATTGAAAAGACAAATCATAAGGATACGCCTCAGATTCGCAAATGTCTTCGCATATTGAAAAGCAAAGCTCAATTTAATAGTTTGGACAAGTTTCGGAATCAGTAATCTATTATCATAGCCTGCAATCAATATGGTTTAAATTTTCGTCACTTAAAATATTTTTAATTAAACGTTTCTGTGTTGAATGAACATGCTCGAAATTTTAGTAAACCTCGTCAGCTAATTAACCTGCGATAGAGAAATTAAAGGGTTAATATACAATATTATATATAAGGGTTATCAATGGTTACTTACTACGTAGCTCTACAGCCCGGGGTGGTATTTGGCTTCCCGGACGACATTGCACCAGTCCTCTCTGTACAACGCTCTACTCCTCCAGTTCCTTATACCAAGACTCTGCATGTCTCTTTCCACACCCTGAATCCAAGGTCGCCCTCGCTTTCTGGTGCCATACATCTTTCCAAGCAGAATTCTTTTTTCCATTCTCATTTTATTCATCCGTGTAACGTGACCCAACCATTCGATTCTATTTGCTCATATGAAGCGGACAATATCACAAGATCCATAATAGCTCTTATACTTCGCTGTTCTTCCGGATTCTCCATTCATCCTTTATCAATACAGATCCATAAATTTTATGGAGAATTTTCCTCTTGAAAACTTCCAATGCATTTCTTGTTATTTATAGATATTTATTTATCAATGGTTAAAGTAGATAACGCAAGAAGTGTAGAAGTATGGATAATAATGTATTTTGGTGTTGAGAAACGAGAACTTCCTTACCAAGATTTGACCATGGCCATAGGCCTGATGAGAAAAATATTACGACTGCAAACTTATAGGCGTTGGAGTATGGCGGCCAAGTAAATATAGATATAAAGCCTAGAGAAAGCTTATATATACAAAAAGATATAAACACTTTAAATTTATAGGATTTTTTTTCTTTCTTGAATATTACAACAAACTGTCTCTTGGACGTTGGTTATAGTGAGGTAGGATGACATTCACACTATATGTACAAACAAAATACAATAAATAGAAACAAAATAATAATCAAAAGTACATACAATAGATAATAAAATAAAATAACCTAAAAAATAATAAAATTAGAAATAAGCAAAAAAAAACATGCATGCCTATAAACAATCAGGTGAGGGAACTCCAGGAAAACCCTGAGCTACTCTCTCAACCGCGTCACTGGTACTAAAGCCACCGGAGATTGATCGAGATCACTATAGGATTTAAAGTCTTAAAACATGAAATAATTGTCAGTTACCCCATATCTGGAGATTTTATGTTCAACATTTAAATTCATGATTCGAAAAGCTCACTTTCTTTTCGTTTTTCAGCTTATATCAGTGTAAATATGCATTTAAGCGACAATAATGTTCCATCTAAAATTATTAAAGCTACCAAAATTGGCAACTGGGTTGTTTATATTAATTTATTTTGTATATTTTCCAGAAAAAAAAACTTTGTCTCACATTTTTATCATTATTTGACTTGGTAACTCCTCCTTATCTTTTCATTTTAAGAAAAAGTCGTTTGAAAGGAATTTTTTTAAGCTAGAGCAATTATAACTTTATGTTTACTGAAAAAATTAAATTCTCGTTACTACACGGCCCTTAATCTTTATATAAGTCAATATATATATATATATATATATATATATATATATATATATATATATATATATATATATATATATATATACATATATTTTTCCTTATATAATACATACATATATAAATATATATTCTGTATAGATCAGATGATAACTATTCACATCTCAAAAAAAAAGTATTAAGAAGAATATTAGGAGTCATCAGAGTTGATCAGTTTAAAATAAGGCAAAAGCAAAATCATGCCAGCAAGTAGGAATTTCTAGACTAAGAATTCAACCAGCATAATGAGGCCTGATGAGAAAATTGCTACTTCTGCAAACTTATAGGCGCTGGACTATGCAACTTAATATAGTATACAGAGTTGATCAGTTCAAATTAAGGCAGAAGCAAAATCATGCCAGCAAATAAGAGTTTCTAGACTAACCAACAAAATGTCACCTAAAAGATGGCTTACATTTTTAAATAGACAAATTTAAACTGGGAACTTCTACCCCAGGACAGCATCATTAGATTCACATAAAAGGTGATTAATTTGCTTTTTAAGTACCTATTCATAACCTTTAATCAGCAATCACATAGACTTTCTCTCTATATGCACAATAAAAACATTCAATTTTATAATATTCTCCATATAATGAGTAAAAGTTAAAATATCTTACCCTTTTTTCTTATTTATCCTTAACCAAAATATAAGAATATAAGACTGTGAAATGTGCTTTGGTTTTATTTTTTTTAATCAATAAACCTTGTGTTACTGTTATATACATTCCCCTCTACAAAGAATGAAGTATTGCTTCTTTTTCTTATATGTGAATTTTGATTTTACCATCATAGAAGAATAAGGAGTTTTTCTGAATGAATTTATCATTATTAAAGTAAATGTTTTACCTAAAAGGGTTATCTATTTTTAAAACTGTTTGAATTAAAAGATAAAGTGCCCTATATAATATAAAGGTTTAATGAGTTTAATATATATTATATACTAAACTTATTTTTCTTCTAGCTAAACAATATTTAATCTAAATTGTAGGTCAGCAATTAAACAAACTAATATAAGATAATATATACTTATTAGCAGATAAGAAAACTGACACCAATAAAGGCTTCTTTCATAGTTGGTATTTTTTTTTTCAGTATGTACGCAAATCAATCACTCTTCAAATTATTTATACCGTAAACTGTAAATCTTAGCCTGAAAGTAACTTGTCTAAGTTCAGGTGAGCCCAAAATCAAATCTTTGGTTGAATTAATTAATCAAATTCTGAATCAGCTCCGTTAGGTCAGAGTTGAATTAGTGAATAAAATTTCATCGTGGTAAAGCATAATCAGCTTATATTGTTCTTAAGGTGGAGGACCCAATTAGCATTTAATTTTGGTAAATATATCAATACTATTAATAAACAATTAATTAACTATACTGTTATTAAACATAAATACTAATAAAATAAACATAGACATAAAATATTTGGGGTCTGAGATGAATTGAGATTGTGATTATCAAGATATTAATTAAATGTCGGACCTGCAAACAGGTGCTATTTTGGCCTCGCCAAGCATTTTAAAAGTAGGTATATTGCTAATGAGACCAAAGTGAGGCTTTACAAAGTCCTTGTCCTCATGTTCGGATCTTAAGCTTGGGGGTGTGGAATAAGCCGATGAAGATAGACTATTGATTTTTGAG